GATTCTCAATATACATGCATAGTCTTTCCTCAATATATATATCTAACATACCTCTTGGCGCGGATCCCCCATATATATACACAAAACCCATGCAATACTCCAAGACTTTTCTTTTATTTTTCTCGCGAACATATATATATTACGCGCGCAGAGAAGCCTTAGAGAGAGAGAGAGGCCAAATGCAAATGTCTTCGTCGTTTCTATCTCCATCTCTCTCTCTCTCTTTTCCTTATTCGCAAGCGGCGGCGAAGAGGCTTTATTGCATCGAAGCGAATATAATAGCGAGGGATTTTCCCAAGGAGAAAGAGTTACGATTATTGAGCTTATTGGCTCGCTCTGAATACGCGCGCGCGGTTCAATTCGCCATTATACCCGCGCCCCGCGCGCTGCAGTCTGAAATAGCAATTCGCCTCCTTTCCAATTTCGCTTCTTCCTTTTTTTTTTTTTTTTATCATTATTTTATTTCCTTTCTATTTTTATTTTGTTTTAATTCGTTTGGGTTTTTATCCGCGCAGTTGCAGTGCAAGCTTCGTTTGATATCGCGGCCATGCGTTGAAAATACGACGGACAATTGCACTTTGCTCTTACATATAATATAATAATGATAATAATAATAGCTGCAAAAGTTTAAACTAAACTGGGGGGGTAAAATTCGGATACTCCCTTGCCCCACCTTCCCTAGGCAGCTCGCCCGCGAACAATGAAGATGAAGCGGTTTAGGCGATATGCGCGCGCGCCAAGGGTGAATAAGAACCACCACGGTGGCAAGAACCTCGAGCGAATAATGAATAGTCTCTACTCTCTCGCCTTGCGGGTCTCTCTCTCTCTCTCTTACTGCGATCCTACTGCTGCCGCACGTCTCCGCACTGCGACTTTGAAGAAACTTCGGGCACATTTTACAGGATTAGCTAAATTTCCAGCTTAGAACGTTTCTAGCCAGTCGCGCGCAGTCTCGGCATGCACGAGGACGGGCAACGACATAGAAGTCACGACGGAACAAAAGTGATTCTCTCTTTTTTTTTTTTTTTTTGCTACTTTGCGCGCGCTACAGTGTCCATTTTTTAAACTTTATATACTTTTTCAAGTACGATCGAGCGCTCTCTCGATTTTATTTTTTTCACTTCTTCTTCCTTTTCTTTTTACATTTTTCATCGTATAATATCAACGCGGACAAAGTTCTCTCGAAAAGTCGATATTAAGCGCGCGGCGCTTCTTCCTTCGGTCGAAATTCCGGCCGCTATTTTCCGTAGAAACATTTTCGATTCTCGAGTTCAAAAAGCAACCCAATTTATTGCAGGGTAATTGAATGCAACAAACAAAAAATAGATGCAGGAGAAAAACTCGCGTCTTGTTTACATTTTTCGCTCGTATAAATATACATTCGGAAGAATATTTTTCTCGCTCGCGTCCGTATACACACACATACACACACCGGACACAGTCGGATATATACAGAAGTGTATGTACGTTTTTTTTCCACAGGTTTTCCCGAGCTATAAATATTTCGCTTGTCACCGTGGCATATGTTTGTGTGTGTGTATTTGTACTTTTTTTTCGCCTCCTCGTTGTTGTTGTTGTTGTAACGAAAGGCATGTATCACTTTATTCTATTAAACAGTTCATGGGCTGCCTCGATATATCTATCGTTGGCTCCGACAACAACGCGGTAAGGTGTCGTTTTTTTTTTTTTTTTGATATTTGAAAAGAAGGCAATATCTCGGGGGGTATTAACGGCGGACAAAGGGTGGTACTGCTGCTGCGCACGCGATGATACAGCTTTGAGCTTCCGATATCATTTCGCGCATCTTTTATCGATGATAAATCGTTTGGAAATGATAAGCGCAGCAGCAGCAGCAAGCCCGACTCCGCTGGGATAAATGCTGAAAGTGCAATATTTTTTCTCTCTCTCTCTCTTTCAGGCTGGTGGTGATGGTGCTAACACGCGCGCGCACGGTATAAGAGTATAAAAAGTAGTCCAATCGGATGTTTCATTGGCTGGCTGGCTGGCAGACGGTGGTGCGGCCGCTTTCCCATCGCGTACAATCCATATCTTTTATTCTTCCTTCGGCTATTGTCCTTGCCAATGCCACTCAAGGCCTCGTCTCTCGAGTTCTCTCTCTCTCGCATCGGCTTTCCGAGCGCGTCCCGCAGCAGCAGTAGCAGCATCCTTCGATGAGAAACAATGAAATTTCCTCGCGCCACCGTCGGTGCCAGGGCTCTTTCACTATCTGCTAGCTTCCTCTGCTGTATAACCCGAGAGACTCTCCTCGCTCCTATATATCTAAGTCTCAAAAACAATGCCCCTCGCAGCGCCGCATCTTTCTCTTCGCTTTCGTCATTATTCGATAAAACCTCTCTGCTGCACTTTCTTCTTATACTTTCTGGCCAATGGCGTATAGAGAGGACGAGGGAGGAAAAAAAACAACGTAAATATATAGTACGTTCTTGGTCAACTCCCCGAGGCAATTGTCGGGAGCCTAGATGCAGCGATTGGCTACTGTGTGTGCGAGCAAAGATCGAAAAAAATTTTTATACGCTCGCGAGCCTGGGCCAATTTTTCGTCCAAGTTTGGGCGAAACGTCGCAGACTGCGCGCGTGACTCGGCGGCTCTCGTATACCGGAAAAGTTTAAAAATCCAAGCCAATGCCAAAGAAGCGTTTTTCCATTATGCGCGAGCAGCTTTGCGACGCAGTCGAGAATGAAGATCGTATAGTCAAATTCATATCGACTGTCCAGAAAGTACGTGTATCGAATATAATCGTATCGTATCCGATTTTCCTACGAAGAAAAATATTTACATCTACCTCGGTGCTCGTTATTTTTGTTTTTTCTTTATATCCTTCGTATTGATTTTGTCGTGCAAGGGACGTGGCTTGTTACTACCAATTTATAACTTTACTTTACTACGTTTTGTCAAGTAATAGCTTTTTTCCTTCGAATTGCGCTTGAAGTTTTCATCTCTCCGAGCAATAAATTGAATTTTCCCGTTTTTCTACTCTATGTGCAACTGCAGCGTATCGCGGGATAATCCGAACTAGATGTGAGTTAAATTTCAGAAATGAATTCGTAGCGAAACGCAAAATTTGCATGTAAACTGCGGTCACGCGGGTGCGTGACACACACGACTGACTATCCGAGTCGGAAGAAAAAAGAACCTGAAACGTTTCAAAGAGTATATCCCGTCGACAGAAGTCGAAAAAGAGAATTGCCCGAGCAGCCCTCGGAAACAATTATAAGCCGCGCGCGCGCGTGCGAGAAAAAAGTCGAACAAAAGGACCTGGTCGAGGCTCGAGAGCGTTGTACAGAGGGAAAAGGATGTATAGATATATGTAAAGGGCGAGGCTGGTCTGAAAAATTAATGAAGTAAATTTAATTCGAGCTCGTGTGTGCGGTGAAAAAAAAAAGCGAAGACGCACGAAAAGCGTGTACAGCAGCAGCGGCGCAAAGAGCGTATGCGTGTCCTATATATACCCCCTTAAAGCTCGTTTCTGATGAGAGGCACGTGTACTCGAATGAAATTATCCTCTCTGCGTCATAGTGGCAGGTGGACGACGCCGCAGCTCAACGTCAATTATAAAGACGATTTGGATACGGTTTTTTAATATTCTCCTCTCGCGCGCGTAAACTCGCGCATCGACTGTGTACGGAAATTTAAACGCCTACGCTGTATATCTTCGACGCGTACGAGATTAACTCGAGGTACTCGAGATTTACAACTGATGTATCGGCAAGATGTTTTTGCCGCTTCATCGACGCGACACGGCGCAATCGAGATGAGGCCTGTAGCGAAATTCCGAGGAATTTTGTTGATTGCGAACGGCAGAGAGAAATCAGATAAGCTCCGAGTGCGTTTCGTAATAGCGACAATATTTATATTTGTATGCTCCTTACATGCGAGAAGGAGGGAGAGAGATAAGAAACGTTCGGCCGAGTATGCCCCCGCGTAGCATCGGAAAATAACTCATTCGATTCGATGCAATCGTGGGTGTACCAGTGCATCGCAATATACGTATAGTAAGCAACAGCCCGAAGGCAAAAATTTAAAAATATTCCCTTATTCGATGTTTTTTTTTCGCAAAAAATATATTCTACCTCGAGAGCTCGTTTTTGTACATTTAACTCGTGACTCTTTTACATACATGCGTATGCAGTCGTGGTAATTCGTCACATCGTGCATATTCTCTTCAAATTGTATTACTCTGACGATGAAGCGGAAACAAAGTTTTGTTTAGAATTGAAAAATTTATTATTAAAATTATATAACGGATATTTACGGCTTGAAATTTTTCATTAAAATGAATGAATATTGTAAATATTTTTAATGAGTTTTTTTCGTTTGAGATAAAATAATTGTAGTACTGTAGTTGTAAAGTGCAATATTACGTAGCTCAGCAGTTATAATGATTAAAAATTAAATTGTTTAAAAAAATCAAGCATTTATTCTAGTTTCAAAATTATTTTTTTTTTTTGAAAAAATACGACTTGCTTTTCAAGTACTTTTCGGAATGCGTGCTCAAAATATTTAATGGAATTACGTGTCTATATAATAAGGGCAGCAGGTTATCGACGGTAGTTTATTACTGATTCCGCCGGTAGGTGGCCGACGATAACTTTCAGTCATATCCACAAGTAAATTATAAAAGTTCCGCAATAAAGGCATATTTTGGCATCGATTGCATACATGAGATTTATTTTTAAAAATACTCCAATGCGCATTTATTATTAGTACCCATTAGTGCCGGTTGATCCGCAGTTGTTTTCATGTTACTCTTCCTTCTTATAGCATCGGCTTACCGACAAGCGCATTTTTTTAATCGGATTGTTACCAGTGAATCAAGTTTTATTTCATCTGTTCACAAAAGCACGTGATCCGAACTTTTCATCTTAAATTATTACCAAAAAATTATCGATCGAATTTGCACGATTACAATTATTATCACGCGCTGTCGTGATTATATTTCGTCTCTTGCGCACTCACGAGTTTGTTAATTGATGTTTCAGGTACGAGCTTATTCGCCGTGGCGGCGCACGAGTTCGGCCACTCGCTCGGCTTAGCTCACAGCTCGGTGCGCGGGGCCCTCATGTACCCCTGGTACCAAGGGATAACCGAGGATTACGAATTGCCCGAGGACGATAAGCACGGCATACAGCAGATGTACGGTGAGTATCCAGTCTAGTCCTTACATGGCATATAGATCGCTGCTGTTCAACTTTTATCGTTCCGAGCTTACATCTATGTCAATCAAGTATTAAATTTAGATTTAACTGCTATCGAAAAGAGTCGAAAGAAAATTATTGATCTTTGGGGGATGATGAGTGAGAAGAATTATAGACGCCTTTTTTAAGAAACTTAGCTTTATACTTATAACCACTTTTGAATAGACATTTGTAATTATAATTGCCTTTATTACAACATCGATTCGCCTATCAAAGATGGATGACATCTAATAATACGACTAAAAGCAGCTATGATAAATTACGATATTAAATAAAAAAGCGATAAATCCTCTTATTGCGCAAAAAATGTTTATATGTATATAAAACTTGTTATATTACATAGCAAAGTATATTCCATCGCAGTTTTTTATGCAATGCAAAATTTAATATTCAATGCGACGCGCGCATATAGTACATTTAATTACTATAAGAAGTTCAATTTCCGATGTACTGTTTCAATTTTGGTTTGGCATGTGGTCTACTATACACTAGACCCGATCTTATTCTGTCCGCTGAAACGCCGGAATTTCTATGCTTATACACGTTCCACAACTCTGTGGACCGGACAGAATTAGATTGAATCTAGTTTACAAAGGGAGATTAGCGCGCGGGAATAAATGTAAACATTGCGACTTGAAGAACCTTAAGCGTGTAGCGCTTGTCAAGATCGATAATATCTGAGAAAATACATTTTATAGTTAGCTCATCGACTACAGATGTCGCATCGCTAACCTTTAAGCGGTTAAATTCGCTTTCATTTTGTATATATAAGAAAGTAGAATACATCAAATTATGATTTTTGTGAGACCTTTCGCAATTTTCAGATTTATGGTGTAATAACTTTTTCAAACTCTGATTATTCGAAAATAAATGACAAGAATGTTTTTCAATACTTAGAATATATTTTTTATTTTGAACAATATTCGAAAATAGATTTATAAATTTTCGTCTTGTAAGTAATAAATAATGGCTTAAAAGTTAACATAAAAATAACTTAATTATGTGTTTTTTTTCTTACAATTTTCTCAAGATAATACAATATTTTACTGCTATATCTATATTTTTCAACATTAAGCTTACCATTAAAACTATAAAAAGTGCTATTTACAATATACCGACGTATAGTCAACTGCTATTAATTTCCAAGCCAGATCTGTACTTGAGCGTAGGTGCGATGCGCGTGCTGCATCGCTCGCCACTTATCCAACGAGGACAGTTTCTTTTTGAAAAACAGCTCCCGAACGATCTTGATGCCGGTCTCGCCGATCTCCTCCTCGCTCGAGTCCTCGTCGTAAAATTTCTCCGCGTAAGTCGTCAAGTTGTTGCTCTTCATCAATTTCCTCAGAATCCTATTCTTTTCGCGATCGTTGAAGAAAAAGGTCGTGTCGCAGCCCGAGAAAGCGTGCAAGAACAGCAAGAATTCCTGCGCCTCGGGATGAAGGAAGCTCCTCGCGTCGTAGGCCTGGAAGCTCTTGCGATGGCCCAGTCTGAACATGTAGACGTTGTCGAGCTGTCGCGCCCTCGCGGCGAGCACCACCAGCAGGTCGACGTCCTCGCCGACTATCCAGGTCTTGCGATCCGAGCTCGCTCTCTGGCAGGCCTCCTCGACGATGTCCGCGGCGCCCTCGCCCTCGACGAATCTCGTGCAGAAATTGTGCCTGTGCAGCTCCTCCCTGATCAGTTGCGTCATGCGAATCCTGTCCGCGGCTCTGCTGTAGAATATGGCGTCGCTCGTGTAGACGATGCTGTCCTCCTCGAATTGCGCCTCGTGCTCCAGATCGTCGATGTAATCGTCGAATATTATCAGGCAGTTCGGCGTGAAGTGCTGTCTGACGTACTCGACGTATATGTGGATTATCTTCTTCACGGGCATCTCTCTGTCCCAGCAGAATTTGTACAGCAAATTGTTTCCGTCGATCACGAAATAATCATCGGCTCCGGGTTTGACGCCCTTCAAAGGCTTGAAATTAGCGTAAAATTCAGCCTTGCTATCGGTCTTGTATCCGCTCGTGTCGAAAACCACCGACGTCGAAGCAGACGATGATTCTTCGATGTTTTCGAATTTGTCGACCCGAACTTTTAGTTCGTCGATTTGTTGCTGCAAAACACACACTTTTTCTTCAACGCACTTTTCCAGTCTTTTGTTTTTCTCTTGGATTATTCGTCTGATAATCAACCGTTGCTCTTGCTGGGACACCTTCGGCCGATTACGAAGAAGTATTTTGGCCTTTAAGGCTCGGAATAATTTAATGCAATACGTGAAAGCCATTGTTTATGGAATAAATTCAATAATACTCGACAAAATTAAATACACTCAAAAAGCCACTGCACCAAGTCAACGTTCACTCCACGAAATCGTGTTCACGAATGATTTTTTCTAGTTACGAGTGCTGTTTAAGTACTCGTACAAGAGCAGGTAAAAAAAGGCTTTTACCTGAGAATTTCCCACGTTAGTGCTCTTAATTGAAAAGTAATTAAAGGATTTAATTAGATTATCAAAATAGCATTTAAGATAACGTTATGACTTCAGTCGAGCCCCCGCTCTATTGTCCGTATCAATCACCCATTTTGTTAATGACGCAATAAGCACCTTACAAAACGTTCCAGTGAACCATCGTGAAGAATATCTAATGAGCTGATAAACGTAATGACTTAGATTGGTGACGGCAGGTTGTAAGATTTTTCTGGATATCGGCAGACTACCGAAAAATTTACTCTTCAAGCCTTTTTTCGTTAATTGATAGATTATAAGAAATAGCGTATCAAAAATAGATGTGAACTAAAAAAATTATTTATTAATTACTTATAAAAGATCCCAGTTTACCAGCGTTCGAAAAAAACTTTCTTACTCGATTTTTTTCATATTCGTATTTAAAACTGTCCGATGAATCCGATGTATATGTTTGTAAGCCGAAAAATGTGCCTAAAATTGTTTAAACAATTTTTTTTTAACAAATGGTCAAAATTAATGTTTTTCGACCTGGCTTTTTTTGATAATACTTTTTTAAAATACATTGAACTATTGTAAAGAGAAAAGGTTGACATATTTTATATAATTAATAATTAAACGGAAAATTTTGACTGAGTTTGAAGAGATGAGTTTTAAACAATTTAATTAACAATGAATAATTAATAATAATTATTGATTTTTCTGAGCGTTGTGGAATTGGGATCTTGACTAAAGTTAAGCTGGTGCGATACAGAATTTATTTGACAAAGGACAAAGTTAAGAATTCTATCAGGTGTGCTATAGCAGAGCTGCACTCGCGTAATCAACATTATTTATTTATTACGATGTAAATATTTTATTCGCGTATACGAGCAGCCAACAGGCAATAATTAAAAATCTCTCTTATTTTTTAACTTTTTGGCTTATTTATTGCTATTTTGACTTCTAACTTGAATCAAAGTGTATTTAGTTATTTAAATAAAGTTTATTGTAGCGTATCAACAATTTACAAAAAATTGAAAAATTAGCTCTTAAATGTGAATTTACTGGTAAAAAATAATATCACCTTTAATTACTTTACAAAAATCTATTCCCAGTATACTATTTTTACATCGTACCTTTCCACTCAATTGGTTCAAAAGCCATTGTTATTCGAAAGCGGAGACGTACTACACAGCATCTATTTTGATGACGTACAGAATTTTCTTCGTATCAGTCTCATCGCCGAGATAATAAATCGATTCGGACTCGTAGATTAATTACGATCGGCTCCGATAATTAGGTAATGTATTTCCGCTTATCACACTCGTTATAGCCACATCTTGCGTACGATCATCAACGTATTTAACGTAATAACTCTGCAGGTGGCGCGCGATGCGCGAGTGCACCTTATCGCGTCATACACTTGACTTTAATTGTTTTGAATATATTTAAATCGCTACGGCCTTGCAACGAAAAATTCATCAAGGTCCTCTCTGTGAAGTATAACTGCAGGGCGGCGTGATTATCACTGAAAACACCTGTAATCTTTTGCGCGATTTTAATTCTCACGTTTTGCAAAGTCGAAGCTGACGGAAGCAGGTGATAATCAAATAATTGCAAAATTAAAAAAAAAAATCAAGTAAACAATTCACAAATGTATCAACAATTTTTGTCATTTTGCCAAAAATCGATCGAAAAACGAAGTTAATCAAATGACACGTGAATAAATAACGAGCATAAGCAGAGCGAACTTTATGCAGACACGATTTATCGAGCTTCGGCATTTTCGCACACACACACAGACACACCATCTCTTGGGAAAGTGAATTTAACTAGCTCTTTCCTTACATATATTTTTATTCTCGGAGAAATCGACGCGGGCACGACGTACGCGAAGCGCGCTTAAAATGTATCGAAAAACGCTTTGCGTGTGTATTTGTATGTGTACGTAGTGAACTCTGCTTGTATACAGCAGCGAGACAAAGCAACTCGTACATATATAGACAGAGGAAAAGACAGAGTCTCCGGAGGTTCGATCTTTGCACCGTATACGCAGTGTAAAAACGAATATATATATAGGACCTTTGGCTCTTACTACCTCCGCGTGTTTGTTACTGTACTATTGCGCATTTGCTCCCTCGGCGCTGCTGCGCGTCGCCTCGCGTCGACCATGTAAATGTACGTATATATATATATAAGAAGCTTATTTTTTCTCTGTACCTGAGCTTTTCCGTTATGCGAATTGTTGCCGCGCGTACCGGACACAGCGTAATTTTTTTATTATTATTTCACGAGGCTGCACGGAACTTTTCTCTCTCTCTCTCCCTTTTCGTGACTCGCATTGATAATTAGGACGCGGAAACTTCTTATTGCATTCGAAGCTATATATAGTATATACAGTTATCAAATGTTATTTCAAGTGTGCCGCTTTAATTTTTAGCCTACACCCACCCACACACGAGTTAAGTTCGCAAAAACAAATGGTCGTTGTCTCAATAACTCCGCTGCTGCACTGCTGAAGCTGCAACGGCAAAGAGCAAAGACTAAAGAGGGAGTCCACAGGACTATAAGTCTTAGCCGAAAAGCTCATCGCTATAAGCGTCCAAAGAATTAGTTGCGCGCAAAGTCGCGAGCCCTGAACGTGCTTCGTTTTCATTAACCTCGAGCGAGTTGCGCCCTGGCAGTTTAATTATTCAACTGGCAAAAGCCTCGTGTCGCAGTTTTTTTCGTTGAATTAATGCCGCTGCGTTTATATTCAATTACGCGGCGCGAAGGTTTCTTTCGTGTAACATCAAAATGCATATAATGTTGTTCGCAGTGCGGTTAAAATCATTTGGTTATAGAGAGAGAGAAAGGGAAAATTGACTCGGTGATGCGGGGGGTGAAGAAAATAAAAAAAAAATCTCTTTTTTTTTCGCTCGTTCGCGAGTTGGCGAACGCCCGTGGCGACGAGTCCGATGTCTCTTGATTAACCCGCGCTCGGGCAAGTTGAAATTGATCTTTCGAGTTTCGCGCTCTCCTCCTACTCCTCCCGCCACCCCCTGATCCGGCCGATGAATGAATTTCTAATCAACGCGTTCGCTCGCTCGGCTATACGCGTCTTTTTTCCGCACGAGTTGTGCACAGCAGCAGAGGCCGCTCCATGCGATGAAAAATAAATTATTCCGAGGAGTAAATCGAACCGGTCTGAAGGGGATACTCATTACGGGCTCGGGTCAGCTAATTTTCTAAGTTGAAAAATGCGCGCTCGAGCGCGCGTGTTTGGAATCGCCTATGAAGGCGGCGGCGGGTAATAGCGACTTCTTGAATGCTTAGTTTTTAAAAGCGCGGAAACGAACGAAATTAATTCGCTCCTCTCGCTCTCGCGGTATAATAAATTGAATATCAGCCTGCGAAAGAGGGATGGAAATTTTTCGTACGAAATAAAATCACTTTGCTCTTCGTGTTCGATGTTTTCCAGTCATAATGAAATCTCGTATATTATATAAAGAGCCGAAGAAAGCTTCATTGGATTCTCAAAGAGCTTTGCTCACAGCGTAATTTCATGCATGCTCGAAACTATAAATTAATATTCAGAAAAAAGTTCGTTGCACTCCTGCGCCTTTCCTTTATATATTACACAAAGGCGGCTTTACTATATACGCACAGAGGGCGAGAGCGAGTGCAACACGATATTCTTTACTCCCTTTTTGCGTGCCGGCGTGTGCGTGCGCAAAGCCTTTTCTTTTAGTTATATCAAGACTGTAATCCTTTTTTTTTCTCTCTCTCCTCAAATCTCTCGGATAATACGGGACAAAAAAAAAGGGATGAAAGAAAGAAAGGGATAGATAAACTATTTTTCGGTAAGCCTCTACCGCGCGCCGGGGTGGCGGTGGTGTATATCGCATAAAAGAGATAAAACAAAAATAGAAGCTCGGGCTCGCTCGCTCGCTCGCTGGGAGAGCTCGTTATAAAACGGATTAACTCACTGTTTCGTAGCGTGTTGCTATGTACTCAACTTTTTTCCTCGTTCTTTACTCTTCCTTTTTTTTTTTTTAATCTTCAAAACTGGTCTCTCTCACGAAACGATACAGATTTAGGAGTTTCGTTCGTTGGCCGGCAACTTCGTAACAGCGGCAGCAGGGGGTAGGTAGTGTAGTGGTTATAGCAGTTGGCTGCGGATATATATAAGAAAAAAAAAAGCTCTCGCGCGCACCAACTAAAAGTCTCATTTTTTTTAAGGAGTTGGTAGAGAGAGAGTGAGGTAAAAAAAAAAACGAAGGTAAAAAATAAGAGTCGACTCGCTCGCTTGCGAGCAGCAGATTCGCGTTCTCGCGGGCCGCAAACCCAACCGACTTACGATTCTACCTACGTCCAAATGAAATTCATTTTCGAGTAGAAGTTTTTTCTACTGCTTCACCACTGCGCTGCTGTGTAAGTTCGGCTATTTGCTATTCGGTGCGCGCGTATACAGACACAGCTGGCCCTTCTATATTACTACCACTGGCGTACCAGATCCTGGGCTACCTGTTTCCTTCTCCTTTTTTCTTCTTCCTCTCTTTTTTTTTTCATACGTATATACGCTGTAGTCTCTAATTAAATTTTGTTTGGCTTATCCGCGTGTGCATCGTTCCAGTGGTGGCTTAAAAGTTACTTCCCTTTTTTTTTTTTTTTTTACTACCACTACCCAGCTAGCCCGGAGTTGTGTGTTCCTTAATAGATATGATACAGCAGCAGTTCCGAGCGATGGTTGACCGACAGCGGCAGCAGCAGCTCACGGTAACAACGCGCGCCCTCAATAAAAGTCCGAGATTTTTTCTATGCTTTTTTTTTTTTATTTCAGTTTATTCGAGTATAAATTATATTTCCTCTCTCTCTCTCTCTGCAATGAAAAGCCCGCAGCCAATTATCAACCCGTGTGTGACCTCGTTCTCTCTCTCTCTGCGCTTAATAGTCGACCGCAACGTCAATCACGACGCGTTAAAAAATATATGTACGTATTCGCGCGCAAGCTCGTGACCATTATTACAGTTTCTCTCGCGCATCTCGCCGTGCAAAATATCATAGTACTCTGCAGGCGATGTCGCATACTAGCTACTACTATATGTAGTGCTTTAATACACGAGGAGGCGAGAGAGAGAGAGAGAGAGAGTGAGATACCCCCGCGTGTACGTGGTATAACATTAGGCGTCCTCCGCTCGCGCCTACAGGACTGACGGGCTGTCCGCTCGTTTTGTCCATCACTAACGATTAGGCGACTTGCGGTGGGTACGTACGTCGCAAGCTCGCAAGCCCGTTATACGTCTGACAGTTCCAGCGTACGTATGCCTGTATGTAGCTGCTGATGCTGCTGCTCTGCTTTAGTCATGCCCAGACTGACAAATCGCCCGGCCTCTCGTGCGAAGTCGATTTAGCGACACACGCAGCTATATAACTATTACGACGTATGCTCCGCGCGATGCGCCATATTCCGGTGCTCGTTGCATATTACGCGGAGAGTGTCTATTATCTTCCCTCTGCCTTGTTAGATTTTTTTTGTCCACAATAGAAAAACGAATGTATAAACAATGTTGTCGGTGTGCTGTACGTACAATATGCTACTCTTCGTGCCAGTGAGAGCGAGAAAACGACATTTGAATTGTAAAAGCAAGGCCGGCGTCATTGGAAATGCAATAGAAAAGCGAGAAAAAAAGGAAGATAAAGAGAGAGAGCACCCGACACACACCGGGGACACTCGCTGCTCTCGATGCGATGCAGCTCGCAGGGGCGTCGGAGAGATGTGTGTGCTTATTGCTCGTTGCAAGAAAATCGTATTTGCGTCGTCCTCGTTGCCGTTGCGTCTGGACTGCAACCGAGAAAGAGGGAGAAAATTTTCTGAATAGAGATAAGCATGTACGACGAGACTCTGTCGCTGCTGTCTGTCTCGAGGATCGATGAAAATCATTGGCATTTTATTCGTATTTTTTTTTTACCGCCTTAGAGCGATTGCATGGATAACAATCGCGCTGCGACAGAAATCGAGGGTTCGAGTACTACTAAAAATATGAATAATAATGAAACAACGATGGTAGATATCTAAATTACTCATAAAATTGAAGGAATCGTTGTGCCATCTTTCTGTATTCCGTGTCCGTGTGCACGATTGTAAAGTAGCCGAATATAATCATAATAATTATTATTTCACGATCGCGTGCGTCTACGTTTGAAAACTGGAACGCACTTAGAAATGCTAATGAAAGCCCAGAAAAATCAACGTCATTCAAAAAAATAAGTATATATGGTTACGTACGGGATCTAAAACACGTAGGCCGTGTACTATAACGATGATATCGATCGCGAGATTAGATAAACTATTAACTCGGAGGCGTGCACGGGGCTATATGCCAAGCGGAATAATATAAAGTTGGTGTTTTTATTTTCCACTTTATATATACAGGGTAAATAACACACATACATCTCGGAGCGAAAAATTTAAAAGGCCGTAATAATGGTACTTCTCGCGTGCACCGCGACGTCTCTGCAATATACACTTTTCTTTCCAGGTTTTACAGCTGTATTTGCGGCTAGCTGCTGCCGCGGCTGCATATTGTATTATAGGCGTATGGCGGAGAAGCTATAAAATCTGCATAGCACAAGCGTCGGACTAGTTCTCACTGCACAACTTTGAATGTACGTTATATCTGTGTGGATATCCTCTTCGCGGTAGCTGTTTCATAAAGTACGCGAAAAAACACATAAGCCGAAGATCTACGTGATGTACGGTTGCATAATACAACGTTGATGCATACGTATATTTTTTTGGTCTTCCAAAACTATATTCGGATTTCTTCGAACGAGTATCGTTTGGAGTTTAACGACGTGACGTTTCTTGCCCCCCCGTAACAAATGTACGTTTGGCATGATTGCCGCAAATAGATAGGTAGAAACGATAAAAGTTGGGCCGCTTGCAGCATAATAATGATATGTACAATATACATTCGAAGGTACGAGAGAGATAGAGATGATAAAAAAATTCTTTTTTACAGGCGCACCCGATCGTTTGTGGGGCAATAATCCGGACTACAAGAACTACCGACCGAGGCCGCCTCGTCCCTCGACCAGCACAACGACAACGACCACCACCACGACAACTACCACCACGACTACCCGAAGACCATGGCGAACGAGACCTCGACCGGTCGAGCCGACGCCACCGCCACCATCCAAGGACGACGGCGACGAGAGACCCTACAGGCCGAATCACTATCCCGAGGATCGACCTCGTCACAGGCATCCACATCGCTCGAGCACGACGAGCACCACCGAGTACGCGCCTCGCTACTATCCCAGCTGGATAACGACGAGTACGAGTACCGCGTCGCCTCCGACGAGACATCGTCCTCCGACTCCGCAGAGGCCCAATTACCATCCTGCGTCGACGCCCCATCACAGGCACAACAGGCCGCCGACCCCGAGGAGGGACCTGCCCGACAAATGCGACACGAGCTACGACGCGATTAGTCTAATTAGGAGGGAATTATTCATATTTAAAGGAAAGGTTAGTATATAGCAGTAGTAGAGAGTATAACCGAAACTTGGAGCTCTCGCGAGACTCTCGTCCCTCCGCTAATACGGAAACTTCTCTCCGAAGAGAGAGAGAAATCAGAATTCATATCGAGTTCTCAGGGCGTTTCTTCGGCAACGCGCGGGGGCACCGAAAGATTAATACGAAAAGTTTTACGCTCGAGACTCGAGCTGCCGAGCGCTAATGAGAGGATATGCATATAAGGGACGAGAGGCGCAGTTCGAGCACATTAGGATAACCCAAAATTATTCGCGCCGATTTCTTCTTCTCTAATTTTATGCTGTTTCACTTTACTACTACATAGTACGTATGGCGATTGAACGACAACGGCCTCGTGGACGGCTTCCCGGCGGAGATCAATCAGCTGTTCAAGTTCCCGATGGAGGTGGAGCACGTGGACGCGGTGTACGAGCGACCCGACAACAATCGCATCGTCTTCTTCATAGGCAGGTGGTACTACGTGTTCAACGCGTTCTATCTCGAGCCCGGCTATCCCAAGCCCCTGACGCATCTGGGATTGCCTGCGGAGCTGGACAGGATCGACGCCGCAGTGGTTTGGGGATACAATCAGAAGACGTACTTCTTCAGTAGCGATATGTACTGGAGGTAAGAGAGATTATTTTACGCGTGGATTTTGGAATTGGATGTCGATACTATAATTACGTTTGTTTTTTTTCCAGATTTGACGACGTCGTGAATCACGTGGAACTGGACTATCCGAGGGACATCAGCATGTTCGCTGGTATCGGTCGTCGCGTGGACGCCGTGCTGCAGTGGAAGAATGGTAAGCGTCGCGTATAACGATACGATTCTTAGCTCTCAATTATCGTCGTTATCGATTCCGAGGATTTGTGAAAAATAAAATTTCCCCAAAGGCAAAGGGAGAAAGAGAAAGAGAGAGGAAAGCTTGCCCAGATTCCAATGAAAGATTAACGACGACTTTATTCGTGATATAAAACGTAATATAGATATTAGATATGGAAAAAAATGAGAGTAAAGCCTACTTTGATTCATCATTCGCGTGTACGACTAAAATCCCTCGAGAAAAAAATTCTGTAATCGCATTATCGACTCTACTCAACCTGTTCGACCGATCGAATTCTTCCTCTCCTTTTTTTTTCCCAACTTAATGCATATCTGATAGGCGAATGAACGAACATCGGGGCTTTTCGGAAAATGATGAAATTTTGCATCGACGATCGATTATGACTTACTCTTGATCGAGTTCAATTTTGCATTCATCGCTTAATCCGTTTTTCTTTTTCTTTCCCTCGATCATTAGGCACGACTTACTTCTTCGAGGGCAAGCATTTCTGGCAGTTCGACGACAGGCGCATGAGGGTGGCGCACAAGAAGCCGAGATCGTCGGCCCATTACTGGATGGGATGCCCGCGCGGGGTCGACACCAACGACGTCGACCTCGAGCAGCCGATAAAGCCCAACGGTGCTGCTACTCCGGCGACGTCTTCTTCGTCGACGCTGCCGATGGTGCTGATCGTCGCCACCATCGCCCTCGCGTTTGGACGTTAAACTTATTTTTAGAATTTGATGAAAAAAAGTTAATTGTAAAACGACGAAGAAAAGAAAAGATCGAGACAAAGTTTATGTGGAGTTTGTAGGAAAAATTAATTGTTAACGTAATTGTTCGTCACTGCCTCAAATGGTGCGTGTATTGCGATAATGCCGATGAAACGTTGTTATTTCGGCGTTTCTATGATTTTTATATTGAATGATGGAATGACGTGTTTAATCAAGAGATTTACAATTATGTGCAATACTAGAGAGAGAGCAAGAAAGAAAGAGCGGAAGAGAGCATTTTTTAAACGAATTTTGTGTATTTACAAAAGAAAACACGAACAATAGAGCATAATTCATTGCCTTATTCTTGAGGAACGATTTACATTCCTTCGAGACAAATATTTTTACAATACTCTGTAAGAAGTTAGTTTAATTTAATTTTGTTTACGTAGAGGCGTCTTAAAAACGAAGGCATAATTTGAATTTTTTTACTTTTAAATTAGTTATTATTACTTTGTTACGTTTACTTAGTTGAACGAATTATATAATGAATACAGGTGATGGCCTTGTGCATCGCAAATTTATTAATGACGATAATGATATTTTGTGAAGAATACAAATAAAAAAAAAACAATTAATGTATCAACTTGAACATTGTGTTGTGAATGATCGCGCGTACAGTCAGTTTTTTGTTGAACTGTGATATTTATACTCAAACTCATTGTTAGTCTGCGATTAAACTTTGAAAAGTTATGATATACACAAGTGTTCTTTTTATGAATAAACGAGTGTCTTTTAACTTAAGGGAGAGAAAAATAAACGACGGAAAGAAAGTAAAGCTCGGCTTATGATTTAACTATAGACTAATAAATACTACGTCGACTTTCAAACTGAATTAATTATATATTTTTTGTACACTTTTCAACGAAATACAATATGTATATAAAGAAAGATTATAAACGTATATTTATTATTAAGAAAAAGAAAATACTTATTGTGACAAAACACGTGGAATTGAGGAAGAAAAAAACATAACGATGATGATAATAATAAGGATTGTAGACAGAGACTTTCAAAAAAACTCTGCTTTATTCTCTTTTTTTCCTATAACATTGTAATATATATAATAACATGCCGCGCACAATCCATTTTTCGTTTTGTCTTCGTTTATGTTTTATTTATATATATTTATATATTTATATATTTATATATATAATATGTATAGTATGTATAATGGTTTTATATTATAATTTTTTTCTCTCTAACGATGATGATGCGAGTCCGTCGACGAGTAGGGATCCCACGGGCTCAGCTGGCGCAGCGTCGCCTGTACGATAGTGTCAATCTCGGCCATGCCGCCTATGCCCGTGTCGCCGCACATTAGAGTTTTGGATATACACGGCACTTCCTTATAACCCCAAGATTTCAGCAGCGATACCTGCGAAACATTAGAAAGCGAACGTTTTTGCATTATTGTCTCGTTGTTGATGTAGAGTACTTTGGGTTGCAAATGAGGAATGATTTTTTTTTTTTATACATTTGAATTTGAAAAACGGATGTGATTGTAATTGAACTATTTTTTATTATTATAAGATCTAAGCTGAATAAAATCTATGTGAAAATAAAACTCGTTGACCTATTTAATGCGAAACCTCTACCGTAATATATTCACGTTTCGGGAATCTGTCTCACCTGTGGCGCCGTGACCGGATGCTCCCACATCCTCGTGTTCATGGCCGGGCAGAAGAGCAGCGGCTTCTTGGTGTCCCAGGCCCGAGCCACGCAGGTCAGCAGGTTATCGCAGATGCCGCTGGCGAGCTTGCCCATGGAGTTGGCGTCGAGGGGCGCTATCAGGAACACGTCGGCCCACTTGGCCAGATCGATGTGCAGCACGGGGTCGCCGCGATCCTGCCAGGCGGCCCACTCGACGGTGTCGGAGAGCACCTGGCAGCCCGGCGGCAGCTCCTTCTCCTTGAGGAAGTGCTTGGCGCGCTCCGTGACGACGATGCGCACCTCGCAGTTCCAGCCGACGAGCTCCTTGACGAGCTGGGGCAGCTTGATCGTGGCCACGCTGCCCGTGCAGCCGAGCAGCACGCGGCGCGTCTTCGAGATCGGTGGCGCCGATGAGTGGTGCTGCTGCGAGGCGACGCTGCTCGACAGCGGATACTGCGACATGCTGCGCTCGACGCTGCTCTGATGCTGCAACGACGACGACGTCAATCGACTCTGAGGCTGATGATGATGCTGCGTCGTTTGATGATGCTGATACTGATACTGTGGCTGATGATGACTATGATGATGCTGCTGCTGCTGCTGGTCCTGGAGCAGGAGGCGCTCGCTGCACAGTATCGGCTGGGGCGTCGTGCAGTGCAGCTGGAGCGGCGGCGAGGCGGACTCGTACAGGCGATTGCTGTCGCGATAGCGCGGCGAGCAGGAGCGCGAGCTGGCGGACGAGTGGAGCTTCGTCTCCGAGTAGCTCATGCACTTGCTGGCGATGAAGTTGGCGCGATCGCGCTCGCGCTCCCTCTCGCGCTCGTTGTTGCGCTCGCGATCCAGGCGCGGCGACGTGTAACGATAGTGGCTACTCATTTTGTTCTTTCGGCGCGCGCGCTCGTGTACACGATTTATTATGCGTTATTTATTAATTGATAATATATACGCACGATGCGTGCGCGTGTGTGTGTATGTATGTACGTAACCACCGTAAATTTTTTATATAATCATGTATGTATCAATGGCAACTAGTAATAAAATTTTCAAAGCTTTCGTTCGTTTCGGCGCTCTCTAAGAGCTTTTACAAAAAGCAAATGTAACAAGTAATTTTTTATTTTTATTTTATTTCTTATCTCCGATAACTGACGCTACTGAGCATCGCAGCTTCTATAATAGGCGAGGGATGGGTACTATGTAACGAGTTGCTCGTTTTATTATTATTATTATTTTCTTTACAATGCACGTTTTTTTCTGAGATCTACGTAAAGCGACTAAAATTGCATTTCACGTTTTTTTTGCGGGCACTAGAAACTGATCATTGATGTATAATAATCTACAAAAAAAGTTCTACGTGTACTACGCGTTTTATAATTATAGTACAAGTGATCAAGTCTTGTTGAGTTTGGCTTTATGCTTTTTTCTTAATGTATAGTATGTTTAATCGTTATGTTTATCTTTTTCTTATTTTTTTTTTTTGTATGTAATATATAAGCTTATAATTGATTCGTACAAATATGATCACTTACACAGCAGGATGCAAAAGCAACGAACAACGAGTTTATATGTATATTTTTTATCTTTTGCGTGGGCTAAAAAGCTTTGCGAATTATTATTTATTCTCTCTTACGTTAGTAATAAATAGGACGACTGACCTCGCTCCAAGCCGTGTGTACTGTTTTTTTTTGTTTCTTTATGTTTTTTGTTTATGTTTTCGTAGTGTTTCTTTTTCGGTCCTTATGGAGTAAGCGCTGGGATGAAGCGATGTGTAAATGATTTGTGTCAAGTGTAGATGGATATATTCAAGCTTTGTAGAGAACTCTGACTTATTGATATGTTAATTACATCGAAGATCGTTATTTCGACTTCTTGAAACTTTCTAGTGCGGCGCTTTGAGCTTCAAACGCTATACACTTCTCAATCTCTCTCATTCAGCAACAATCCAATTAACATCTGTGTGTATACATAGAGATATCTTTGTATATCATATCTTTGTCTAATGTATATAGATAGACTTTTGTTTTGTAAATATATAATATATATCAATATAAAACACGATGTCACGTTATTTTTATTAAACTACTTGGGATTCGTTAGGCACGAAACGCATGCACTCGTCTCGTCGTTGATTTGTGTGTATGGGTGAACACCCTGAAAATAAACATAAAATAAAATGAGGTTCTTAATTACTTTGAGAAGACATTGAGACTGTAATTTTTCAATAAGCTTACCAAGGTAACTATTTATTTGGGCAGTGGTAATCACTTGGCAGTGAGAACAAACAGGTAATCCACTAGACGACGAAGACGGTGAACCTTTCTCATTGCTTCTCTGTCTCACTTGTATTGTTTTCATTAAATCCCAATTGAGCCCAGTCTTCTTTGGCCATCAATCCATTATTCATGCGACAACCCAAATAGTCTTTACTTATATCTTTGCAGTTGCTTGCGACGTTCTTATTATCATAGAGACAACGCATGTACTTGACCATAAGATCACGACAGAGACCCTCGTGGTCCAATGGAAAGCTACCCTTTTCAGGCGGTATTGGTATGAATTTCTTTTGAGAGAAAGTAAAAGATGCCATTATGAGAAACTATTCTGATTTTGTTGGCCCTTGCTTGGTTGAGAAGGTGGCAATGAAGAGACATTAGAAAAATTCAGATACTGTAAAAGAAAAGAAACAAATGATTAGTTATGCGAAATTATGATACATACAATTTGATAAATAATAATGCATGATGAGAAATGAAAATTAAACATGTTTTATTATGAATAGTGAATTTCTTCCAAGAGATTTTGAAATCTACACAATAAAACCAAGTTCAAAGCTGAATCTTACATGAAAATATGCAATAAAAGTTGTAAATGAATGAATTAAACTTAAAAAAGTAAATTCAAAACTTAAAACAGAGAACTATTTCACTATCTGAAGTAACATTATATTGGACTCTCACGAGCAATCAGTTAAGTTTGAAGTTCATAAAAATCAATATATTCGAGAATCAAGAGCGTAAAGAATTATTTCACTATTGGAGCTTCCAGCCTTTATGCACCGATAATTAAATTTAAAAAACAGTCAAAGTTTAAGGTTACAAAACTTTGTCTAACCTATATAAAACTCTCGGATATCTTTGTAACTCTTTCGAGTGAACGTTCGAGGCTTACCAGTTCATTTTGACAACCGTGTCAAAAAGTCAAGCAAAAAACCGATAGTATAAACGTTGCAGACGATGACAGTAAACCAGTGGTCGAACCTCTGTACAACAGCGCAAAAACTGACGTTTGGAAAATGTAACAACAGCCGAACAGAGTCAAAAAGAGTACGAAATTTTGGCTCTTCAAGCGCTCACGTTACCGGATGAATTAAAATACGTAATAAGCCTTCTGCTAGTCTCCTCGCGCAAAGGAGACATCTATATAGCAATGTTGTACACACACACACGCACACACGCACTGACAGTTTGGCAAGCGAGACCACCACCACCACCAACAGCAGTATATATATAGCAGCTCAGAGTACACACACGTTTACGGGTACGCTCGGATAACGATAAATAAGAAACAGCTGTTTACGCGAAAAGGCAGTAATATAAACACACGACTGTCCCCGCAGCAATAGCACAGTGAACTCTCTCGGAATTGAAAGGAAAGCTTCTCTCTCGTCCGCGCGCTTGATACTCCGCAGCGCGCGCCCAAAGCAGTACGTATGCCCGCGATGTGTGTGTATACAGAGAGAGAGAGAGAGGCTGACAAATAAAAAACCCAGCCCTTATATATGCCTTGTATGGGCGATTCACTATTTTTTGTGTGTATACGAATAAATATCGCGCACTTTTCTGCCGAGTTCGCGATCGCGAAACTGAAAAGTTAATTTACGAATTAAAAGATGGGCAAAAGCACGATTGCAAGCTGCACTCTGAAGCTGATCGAATCCTTCGAGGAAAGCTCCAAAAAATTTCTTAATAACGAGAGGAAGACAACTTACCAAAAAAGCTCGTCGACTCGCGTTGTAATAACAATCCTATATACTAGTGCCTACACTGGTGCAGTAGAAAAGCTCGGCCACTTCCCGGATTCTTGTCCTACGTACGTGTAAAATGTAACGCGCGCGCGGGAATCCTGTCGACGCGCGGAATTTTCTCTCTCTCTCTCTCTCGTCTATACAAGTATCTACCCTATACACATGTAAAAAAAAGGAGAGAAAGAAAAAAAGTAATAAGAAGAAAAAAAGGACGACGCTAGACTATGCAACATATATACGCGCTATTTTCGTAACGGTCGCAGCAGCTCGACTGCGCGCTCGCACTTATAAAAGCTGCACGTATAGCAGCAGCAGGCACAGTAGCGGAGTTAGTGCTTGCAACCCTATAATACTGCGCACACGTATGTACGTATGTATGTACGCTGCGTATATTTGTATCGGTGTCGGTCCCAGAGCCGCCCCCCTGCAGCCCGTTATGTGTGAGTGTGTGTCTGTTGCCCACTAGGACAGCTCTCGGCCGATATTTCCTTCGCTCTAGCCTTCTCTCTCTCGACTATACTACTACTGCTACTACTACCACTACTACTGCTCTAATAAGCTAACACAATACCTATAGTCCTTGCCTCTTGCTGCTGCTGGCTTCCTTCCTACTCTCCTCGGGGCATCCTCTTTCTCTTTCTCGCTCTCGTCGTGCCGCAGGGGGATAGAAAAAGACGGAACTATGTACATGGTAGATAGTGGTAGTAGTAGGTAGGTAGACGGCCCTTAAGGAGGATCGCTCCGAGCTGCTGCTTCTGCTGCTGGTGATGCTGCGCGCGAGTCGATCCCAAGCTCTGCGTTCGTTTCGCAAGTTCTCTCTCTCTCTCTCCGGCGCTTGCGCGCGCAGCGCAAGAATCATCCACCCCCGGCCATTAGCCGAGAGGGCGAATAACCCTGCCTGTGCTGCTGTTACTGCACTCCAAGTGCACGCGCACCTTTTGCTGCTATGTGTGTATTGGGGGATATGTACACTACACGACGCTGCTGCTCGTCCGATGTCTATGACCGCCATGTGGGCTATCGAGGAAACTTTCCGCGTTTTTCGGGGCTAATGGTTTGGTTGGTCAGAAAAGAGCCCCTCGCGCGCGCGATATGGCATATAATCCATATATAAGACACCGAGATAGAGAGGTACTTTCGCGCGCGACGACGACGACGACGACGATTACAAAATTGGAGCATTAGGGTAAAGTGCGTTCGATATTTACCCACATACGTACTTTAACTACTACTTCTATACGACGCGAAGTGCACGCTGCACAAATTATACACTATACTTGGAATTGCGCTCGCTTTTTAATATATATACGTTGCGTGACAAATGATTCACGAGCTCCACTGCGTTACTTTTTCGGTCGTTTGGTTTGTCGATTTTACGTACGTTTATAATAATAATGTATGCTTTATGAAGTAACGAGCATTTTATTATATATACGTACGTACGAATGTCGCCGTAATGATCTTAATGTGTGCCTCGACTGCAGCGTGTCTGTAATTTATGATTTTTCTTTGGCGCAATACGAAGCCCTTATATGCGCTCTTTCTCTTATCTTCTTTTTCTCTTCGTATATGCGTTATATCCGTGGATTTGCAGAGGGATTTTGCCTTGGGTTTGAACGAAGCATCGGAAGTGAAATTGAAAAATAATGAATAAATAGGAAGATTTCCTTAGGTTGTTTTTTATATGAAAAAAATAAATATAGAATGTTTATATTTATGATATAAATTATAAAAATAAATAGGTCGATAATCCGTGTAAATTAAACTTGAATATGGCTGATGCGGTGGTACTTTCAGTACAAAATAAAAATTAATAACAGCAAATAACAAAAATAAAGCTTAACGATTATAGTTGATTAATTATATGTACACACATTTTTCGCGTTGCTCAGTACAACTACAAATTTATTATCGTATTTTTTTGTTTGTTTGTATTGATGCAGCCTAAACATCGACTGTTTATCAAGCTGATTTTTAATAACAGCCTACAACATGTTAATAATTAGTTTACGAATAAATATATCATTAATAATAGTATCATTGCGTTAACAACGTCGATATAGATCACATTTCGACTTCGATAATCGATCGATTAGTTCATTTTCAACAGACAAACGCCACGATCTCTCATTCATATAGATCCTTTCTTTTTCCCCTCCATTATCATGACCAGTCGCGATACAATCGTTTCTATTCCTTTTTTTTTGTTATCATTTTTACTTTTTTTTGAATTACAATGCGTAGAAAAAAGTTTCAGTATATAAACGAAGATTTGGACGCGCGAGCCGTGTTGAGGATCGCGAAACTCTCGAGGATGCACGCTGTGTCCCTTTAAAAGTAGAAGTACAAAATTATCACTGTGTGTGTGTAGAGCATCGATCGATTTACAATGCACATGCAATTTATAAATTCGAGTCGATGACGTATCTCGTGGTACATCGTATGTATAGAGATCGGATCAAAAAAAAAGGGCTCAAAAAGAAAAAAGAGTCAGAGCCGCTTTCTTTGCTACTATCGGTGGCGGCGGCGGCGGCGGCAGTGTACCTTTTACAAGCCTATCTAGACGCAAAAAGCTCGTGTGCACCAAAACGAGTCTTTTGTTCGTAAGACTTTTTTCTTTGCGTTAAAAAGTGCATCTCTCACTCTGTATCTATCTCGCGCGGTGGATGCACAACTCGGTAAAGGAGAGTGCTGGCCTATTGCTTTTCAGTCTCGAGTCGTTCGTCTCTCGTGTGTGCGAGTATGTGTGTGTGTTGTATAATAATGACAATGCATCTTCTACGTGTTTACATGTATTCCGTACATGATATATATACTACGTGTGTATGCGCGCCACATTTCTTTGATGAAGAGAACTCATGTGCTTGCTTGCTTGCTTACTTGCAGCGGCACTATACACGACGACGCCGCGGTCGGTGTATGTACGCGATGAGATATCGATTTTATCCGACTTGCCCGCAGCTAACACTACGACTAGATGATTAGATGAATTCTGTTTTCGTCTTCGTTCATCACGATCAACACGAAACAAACGAAATCACACGGGTGGTCCGATTTTTTCAAAGAATTTTTCAACGAGTTAGAAGTCAAAAACGTGAAATTTTCGAAGTTATGCAGGCTAAAATGAATTTTGGGAATTTTCGTTTGCTCGAGTTGATATTGATATGTGTGTGTGTGCTTGTAGTTCGAGATGAAATTTGGCACGGAGCTTTTGTTATTGTAGTTTACTTCAGTCAAGAGTTTCTGATGCTACTATCTAAGAAATTTAATTACTTCGCATGGTAATAAATTTTAAAATGGAGTATTCTCAAAGTGCTTATATCTGGCACAGATCTATGTTTCAATGATTATTCAGTTTCGTTTTGTTCACCCTATTTTGTTCTATTTTCATCATGAGACCGGAGAATTTTAAAGTAACTGTGAAATGTTCATCTAGTTACTTGATTCGTACTACTTTTATGTTTTTATCGTCTCTTTCATTATTGTAAATTAATTCAAATCGATTCAATTGAATATAGACGTAGTAATGTACAAAAACTTACAAACAAACTTATGCGAACGTATAAAATAACTTATAAAAGACGTGACTGAAATTCGAAGATAAACCTAAATTAGTTAACACATGCTATCACTTTCAAGCTATAAAATTATCAGTCATAAATAATTTTACGCGCAAAATAAGGTTGATTTACTTTTTTTACCGTTTCATTAACGATTTCATCGAGTAACGGTTGCCCTTTCATAAAATAAAAGATAAGGACTAGCATTTAAAACGTCCTCTAACGTGGTCTTCTGAACAACATTATCTGAAGTGTAAAGCCATTGTCCTGGACGATTTCCCCGTCTGTAGCAAACAAAATGACCAGCATCTACGGGACCTCTATGTTCAATCACAGCATACAAATAGTATTTGTGTTTTGCTTTTAATTGAGACTGTTTGTTTAATATACTTGCAGCAGTAGGAGCACCCTAAATACCAAAAAAATTAATATAATTTTCTTCAATAGTATCTAATAAGATATTGAGAATAAAACAAACCTGAAAGCCTTTTCGTTTATTTTCATTATAGGTGTATGGATCTAACACAAGCAATTCATTGAATACCACTGGATCATCTCTTTTAATTGGTTGACCACATGGACTCCAAGTTGTTCTAGGTATGTGGAGACACAGAGACTTTGGTAACTTACCAATTGTTAATGTTTTAAAGGCTGCACAACGCTTGTTACAACCATCACATTGAACATCATTAATGACCTCTTTAGTAACAAGCCGAGAAAGTAAACTAACAAGAGTCAGTTTTTTCCACATTAACATATCAGTAACTGGTGGAAGTGGCAATGAAATACTTTCAAATTTATCAAAACGTACTGGACTCTGTAAATAAATAAACATTTTATATTTTTGAAAACTGTTTGATTAATTTGTAATGTGTTTGCTTACCCTCCATTGACACTCTGTACATATTAACTGGCTGGTTAATAGACCAGAGAATGGATGTACTTGATTTGGTAATGGAGCTGTGGTCTGCATTGGAAGAGTATTCATAGATGTCCATGGTTTTGGTGCAGCATCACCTTCACCATTTTTTTCCATGACTAGACTGGCAAGAATATCAGCGGATCTGGCTAGAATTACTCCAGGTTTCAAAGATAAAGTGGATCCTGATACATTTGTTGTTGACTGAGCATAAGAAGCAACATGGTTGCTGATATTTTTGTTGGTTTCAGGAGGAACGCTACATTTTGAATGAGCAGCTGCAATATCATTACAAGATACGCTTCTTATAGTATTATTAATTATTGGATCACCAGATCCTTTTATATCTGGTATAACCAAAGGAGCTGCTGGTAAAGCATCAGATAGGCATCCCTTCTACAAAAATGTTCAAAGTAATAAATACATTCTTGAGTTGTTCTTGAGTATGATAATGAGTTGTATACAAATAAAAAAAATTAATAAAATTGATCATTAATAATTGAACTTTATTACCTTGCAAGAAGTCTGCAGTTCAGTTTGCAATGCACTTAAAAATACATGAAATAGTTCATGAGCATCTTGATGTCCTGGTGCAAAATTCCAGAGGGGACCCAAAGATTTTATTACTTGAACTGGCTGAACAGCACCATATAAATCATCAGTAAAACCATTGATTTCTACATAAGAAAATTGAAACTCGATTAGCAATGCTGAAAAAAAATTTCAATTGGAAACCTAAAGTTTTAATGTTAAAAACATACGTTCAATGACTAAATTCAAATTCTTGGTAAAAGAGTCTGATTTGCTATCTTCTTGTCTTTTCCTAAGCCACTCTATGAAATTAGGACAAGCAGCGAAACTTTGTAGCAGAGAGTTTAAAAAACATGTATAACCCAAGTTTCTGATTCCTTCCACTTGACCTAAGAAGTAAAACATTTTCAATAGTTTTAGTCAATTCATACAGCATAATGCCATAGCAACCTAAAGACACACATAGAAAATGGTATACAAACCTTTTCGACGAGGCTTGGGTGAAGGACCCCAAAACACAAAAGCTCCAATAGCTACGGCAAATCCCACAGCGGAGATTACTGAAATCTTATCAAAATCCATTGTTGTTCAAATCAACTTGATCTGTTTTTTGAACAAATCCAACCGAATGAGTTCTATCCTTTTTTTTGTCAACAATTATTATGTTGTTGAATCCTCAGACATTGTACACTGCATAACAATGGCCATTATTGAAATGATTATTCTGTCAATGCACTCTTGTAAACACTTATTACGCAGTGTTTTGCAGCTTATTACAGCGGCCGGGGTGATGTGCAAAACACTGAATACTACACAGCACCTCACACACACACACACAAATACAAAGGGTGTTGTCGACCTCTTGCGTTTGTAAAGCGTATATATAAACGAAAATCGCTTCTACACAGATGATTGCAGCGTCAAAAAACTAACTGCACGTATCTAATGTGCGCAATTGCGTTGTTTCTATCACGAGTAATTAACGTTTATAAAACTTGACAATTTTGACAGTGACACGCAGACTTCGGCATAGGTTACGCGACGTGCATCGTTACGTATTATCGCGAAGTTGTATTCGTTCGGATTTTGGGTAAAGATAATGGCTATTAGTATATCTATATATGATAGGATAGCAGACTGCGCAGCGCAGCAATGCTCAACTTCCGTGTCTGCTCGTTGGACGTACGAAATTTCGACTTTTGAGAATCGAATTCGCGTGAAAATGAGATTCCAAAAGTATAAAGATTCAACGACAAAAAATCTAGTTTTTTTCGTTAAAAATACATAATGAATAAAATATGAATGATAAATTATAAATTTACCAAAATCATTCATATCAGTTTTTTTCATGCACTGGTAACACACAAAAATATCCAATGCAAAGTATCGGTTTGTAATGAATTTAATTTTCGAACTAAAATTTCGAAATTTTTAAAGGTTTATTGAAGTGAATGCATGATTGATATCTGCGAATCGATTCCTTAGTGCCAAAATTGTCACTAGCATCACTTCTAGGGTGAAGTGCAGAACATTTTGAAATGACAACGTTCCTCTGCGAACAACCGTCGCGCACTTCGAATGCATTTTCGAATTTTCTTGTCGAATCGTTGTCAGTTGTCGTAGCTCGCAGTGAAGAAGGGTCGGTTCCCGCGACTCGCTATCAATCTAGTTACGTAAAAGTTATCCGAGTAAAGGTAAAGGAAAAAAAAAGCATGGATCAATCGAATAAACGCAACGCCGTGCAGCTGAATTTTTCACCGGGACACAATCCTACGCCTCGCAACAAAGGTCAACAAACGATGGAGGGAAATACCCAGCAAGCTTCGTCATCGTCGTCCGTTCCTACACCGGCGGCTACCCAAGACATGAATCGATTTACCAATGCTGGTGCGAGTTCGTCGACGTCGTCGTCGTCGATCGACAGTAAGATGTGCAATGTCGCTAAACTGAGAGAGCAATTGGTGGAGGAAATAAAAGACATTGAATTATCCATGAAGGTATGATAATGACGGAGGACTGTAGCTTCGACGTTGTTGTTTATGCCACTTTTTTCCTGTAGGAAACTATCAGAACTTTGAAGTCTAAGGTCGAGGCATCAAAAAGCAAAGCTGCTCTTATTCAGGATAAGTTGAAGCAAGCAAATCAATTGCTTTGTCATCAGAGCGAACAAATTTACATGAAAGAACAGAAAAATAAAATTCTGGGAGAAAAGTATGCGTGGTATACTCTACACTTTACAATTATATTTTCCTTTTTTTTTTTTATTCTGAATCATGTTTCAGAGTTCGAGAGCTGTACGAATGCCAGAAAATAATTTTTGAAACAGTTGATGATATTTCTAATACTCTCAATAAACATGAGTTTCTTGCTGATAACTTAGCTAATCACTATGATTCTGCAATGATTGTGCAACAAAATGATTTAAGAATTCTACAAGAGAATCTTCAGCAAAATTCTCCAGACTCAAAGCGTAATAATTTAATTTTTAAAAGTTAAAAAAAAAAGATTTGAATGATTCACTAAATGCCTAAATTATGTTTTAGTTTCTGAACAATTAAAAAACCTAGAAATTCAAATTACTGAAAATGAAAAGCAAATTTTTCAAAATCAAAAAGAAATAAATCAACTGGAGTCTGATTTACAATTACAAAAAAAGCAATTAGAAGATAAACAGCAAAAGCTGCAAGATCTTGATAAAAAGTAAAATTACAAATTTATCCATTGAAGCATTACATTCACACATATTTATATTTGTTGTTTATTTAAAGAATTGCAGATTTTGAAGCCAAAAAAAAGAAATTAGAAGAAAAAGTGGATTTAGAAGTTAAAGAAAAGCAAAATCAAAATTTAAAGCTCAAGGAGGTATATGCGTATTTCTATATTTTATTCGTACCCAATTATTTTTAATTTCAACTAAGGATGATATTTGATTTGTAGGAACTTGATGCTCAAAAACAAAAACTAGTCAATCAAAGTACAATAATTAATGAATTGAATCGTAAAGTCACAACAATTAGGTAACTCCAACTTTCTTCATAAAAGTAATTTTATTTTTAATTTTATTTATGATACAATTTTGAAATATAAAATCAACAGTCAAGAAGAAGAAAAAGTTGAAATGGACTTGAAGCAAATCAGTAAAGAAATTGATAATCTGATTAAAGAGGTATTATTTTTTATTTTTCAATTGAAGTTAAAAATTTAACAAAATCTGATTTTTATATTTTTAGAATGAAACTTTGGATAATAACTGTTATCAAGAAGATCAAAATAATTCAATTAATCTAACAAAACTACAAGAAAATTTGAAAGATTCTAAAAATAAATTATCTTCTATGAAAAATAAAGAAAGTCAGGCTACTAATGTTTTACAAAAAAAGATTGCTGAACTTATGAATGCTATAAAGAAGAATGAAGGGATAGAGGAAAAATTAGAAAAAGTAGAAGCAGAAAAGCACGATGAGGAAGATAAAATAGAGAAGCTTTCTCAAAATTTTATGAATACCAAAAAAGAATTTGATGAAAAATTGAAAATTACTGAGACAAACATAAGTAATGTAAAAAATAAAATAAGTGATGTAGAGAAAATAATTAGTGCATCAGAAGACAAGTTCAAAATGTTAGAGAAAGAAATTGAGGAATTGAATGAAAAATTAAAAGCAAAAAAAGATGCTGAAGAACGTTTGGCTGCAACAGCTCAAGAGTTCAAGCAACAAGCGTTACCTAATATTTTTCCATCTAGGGTAAATGAATGCGTACTATGGATATTATGCATTATGATATAAGTCACTTTTATCATTAAATTATTCATTTCGTTTTTTAGACTGAAAATGAGCAAGATAAACAAAAAAGTAGAAAAAAATTATACACTCCAACGTTAGGAGACGACGATTTGGTACGTTATGACTGCAAATATTTTGTTGTACATGTATTTTTTTCGATCAACAATAACTTATGTTTTGATATTACAGGACATTGACTCATTACCAATAGAAGAACAGTTAACACAGTTGACGCAATCATCTACATCTTCATCTCCAGTAAGAATTTTCAATTTAATTAAAAATTGTGCCTTAGTTTATAACTCATATGCCAATTACTCAAATTAAATATAAAAATAATTGGTTTTTAGGACAAAAGCCGAAAATTCTTCAAAAGCAGTTCCTTGTCCCAATCGTCCCAAAAGTCTGTGACAAGTAAACCAGAAGCTACACCTAGAGGTAGGGGAAGAGGCAAAAAAAATAATTGAAGCTCCACCAATGTTCACACTAATTTGTAACTTCAGTATGCAGTATGCATACATTACGAGAGAAGCTTTTGTTCCAAACCGATTCGGTGAGATTTCAATATAAAAAAAAAGTGTAAAGAAAAAAAAAGGAACAGAGACTCGTCAAACATTCGATATTGGGTGAATCACCTATTAAACTTTTCTCGCATACGTAAGAGCTCCCCGCGCAGGTGAGAGCACGCGCGCGCGCGCGAGAGCACATCCGGTTGATTTTCCCCGATTTTTCTCTTTATCATTTCTCTTCTCTTTCTCTGGCGCGATGAATACGTACTTATGTACACACGCCGTATAAATGCTGCTATGTACGCACAACGCTCGCGGTGCAAGTATGCGCGCGTGTAACGAAACGAGAAAATAGCCTTTCGCGCGCGCGATAAAATGTGAAAGCGCGCGAGCGCTTGCCGACGCTTATAAAAGTTCTATATCTCGGTTTTATTTTATTTTTTTGTTTAAATGTCGAATCGAAAGAGAAAAAAGGAATGTCTAAGCGATTTTATTCTCTCAATACCACAATGTCAATACAATTTTTTTTTGTTGAAAAAAAAAGGGAAAAAGATTAATTCGATTAATAAAAGTATTCTACACCATTATAATACTGCTTTGGTATCAATGTGCACATAAAAAAAATACCTCGGTGAATACCTTGTTTTATATACTCACACAACTATGCGTGAGAAATTTTAGAAAATTTGCCCTTTTCTAGCTTACATTCTCGTTGAGAGAGATTACTTGCAACGATTCGCCTTCGCAAATAGAACTGCACCGCGTGATTCGTTTCGATCTTGATTCTGTGTTGCACGTGTGCTAATAGTAGCTACAGGGCCAGGATAATTGGCTCATCTCCGCGCCACATTAAAATACCTCTGCTCATTTTCTTTTTGTGAACATTCAAGCACCGGACGAAAAAAGCAGAGATATTTTCCCTTTTTTATAATCGATATACGTACACCGAATGGCACGTGTTTATATACACCAAGTGCGGCCCATGCCAGTAAAGAGAGAAAGAAAGAAGAAGAAGAAAAAAATATGATGACGAAGTCAAAGATCACGTTCCGAATTAATCGTATGAATCACGGCGAGCCGTGTATATATACGATATAGTTTTGCGAAATTATATCCGTGTAAACACGCACATTACAATGATTCATTGCCCGTGTGCCGCTCTATATCCCCGAGGTTTGTGTATAAGTAATCTACATCGTTTCTTTTTATCATCAACATTCTATGTTGACGCTAGCCCACCTCCGCGTAGGATTATCGCAGGCCATGATAATAATAAAAATTTTATCACCTAATCATTGTGTTTTCGGAGTGTGGCTATATGGCGAAATCCAGAAAATTCAAATTTGTTTGAAATTTTGTTTTTTTTTAACATGGAAATGTTTACTCAATGTATTTTTGGGGTAATTACTTAAAAAATACGTATATAACATATTCTAAGTCTTGTAATAAGGCTATCTAAAGAGAAGTTTTTTTATAGAATGACGTAAAAGATACCTTAAACCAGTGATAACACGCGGTTTTTACGTTTAAAAAAAATCATATTTCTGAAGTGTGCCTTCAAATAAGGAGTTACCTTACATATCAGACGTCTGATATTTTATTTTGCGAAAAAAACATTATATAAAAGTTAATATCTCATCAAGTTTCGTACATTGTTTGATATTTGACAGAGGAATTTTTTGAAAGCTTGTTCAAAATTCAACATTTCCTTAGCCGTTTTCTGAAATATTCATAAAACGATAATGAAAAGCACTATTACGGGGCTGTCTTCGCCCGAAGTTAAGTTTTAAATTTTTTTCATGCTATTCTTGTTCATAAAACTGAATGCATTTTTTTTTTAATAGTTATGTCAAACTTAGAAGTCTCCCAGGATCTCGTCATATATAAATCAGCGCGTAATGCGAATTATTAAAAACGAGGCTGACATCATATTATATTAGACGCACTTATTACACACGCACGCACACGCACACAGGAAGGAAAGAAGAAGTAGCAGCAAAAAAAAAAATAAAACGGGCAGCGATCATCAGGTCCCCCACTTCCGATATTTTATATACATATATACGCGCGCTATATACCGGGCCGAGAGTGCCGCCGACTGGCATTCGATATTATATATATTTGCCACTCCGCTCTTCTTGTGTGTGTATGTGCGCGCGTCGCGGCCTGTTATAATCGCGAGATCGTCGTCTCGTATCCGCCGCGCGCGAGTTCGCGTCTTCATTGAGTCGCGAGCCGATCGTCACTCGTGTCTCGCGCGCGCCTCATCGCGTGTGCCGCTGTCGCGATTACATTGTATAAAAGTGTATCGATCGATTTATATAAATCGCTATTATCGGAGGAAGCTGTGCGAGTTTGTGCTTGTGTAATTTTAATGTATCGCAATACAGTGCAATTATACAAAGGCGCGCGCGCGCCGAACGTTCGCAACGCGTATATGATATACGTTAAACGCCCACGCGCGACTGATAAGAGGCCGACGCGTACGTGATTTATTAGAAAAAAAAATTTTTTTTTTTCTTTTCATTTTTACGCGTTGAGTCGTCGAGTAATGAACTTGACAGTGAGACCACCACCGCCGCTATATAATTCCATACGTTTTGTCTATTAAAGTGCCAAGTTATAACATACGTCGTGTGCGTGCGTGAGGTATATATATATGAACACAGTGCGCGTCGAGATCACGTTGTTGTTTCTGTTTTTACATTACAGTACGGTATTTTGAGTGTTTACTGTACGATAAGTATACGAGGATAAGCTGCCTCCTCCTCTTCTCATTTTTTATTTCTCCCCTCGATTCAGTGATTTTCGCCTATATTATACTTTGTGCTGCATATCGTGTATCGGTCAACAACTATTTTTTCGGAGCAACGTGTTGACAACTCGACGTCGTCGTCGTCGTCTCGCGATGTGTTGCGCAATGCCGTGCTGGTATCACACGTTGCACAGCACATTATACATATAATATGCGCGCGGATATCAACGTTGGTCGCGCGTAAATCGGCAGCTTATATACCCGAAAAAAAAGAAGAAGAAGAAAAAGAAGAAGAATCGAGTGCGATAGAAAAAAACAGCAACAAAGTATAATACAAAGAATCATCGTACAAAGTATGTAAAGTTGGTGTCGAGGAAGACAAGAAAACAACAACCAGAGAGAGAGAACGTGTGATAACGCACGAAGAAGAAAAAAGCCAGTTGTTCAGTGCCTCCGAGAGAGATTGAAGAAGTTTCGTCGATAATCGTCGCATGGGTATTACAATAAATATGAAACGATGTGTAGACGGTTTTTTTTTCGCCCGAGTGTCCGTATATTTGTGCACACACCGCATTGTCGATTATGCAAGATATGCAATTTTTCCACTCTTCTTCGTAATAATAGTCGTTGCGGGGCTACATACGTAAAAGTGAAGCAGCCAAGTGCCGTATTACAGGCGACTGTGCGATTATAATATAATTGTTTAATAAATAATTGTCGTACTTACATTGTATACGCGCTATACGATAAAGTCGCGAGTCGAGAAGCAGAAAAAAAAATTAATAATTCGGAGAGACGATCCGTATGCATGAATGACGAACAGCGGCGGCGGCACGTTGGGGTAAAAAAATGCGTCAAGTCGCCCTCGAGTTGCATCATCTTTTTCATTTCGCGCGTCGAGTAGTACGTATAATGAACAATTCGAAATTCGAGCGAATCTCAATAAATCCTATCCACACAAAGCTCTCTCGATCCGAGAAAATTTCACACTCGACAAGATGAATGTCATTTCTTTTCCTTCCTTTTTTTTTTCACATTCAATTTCTTTCTCTTTTTCTCTTTCTCTCTCTCTCTTTCAACTTTTGCAAGAGACGACGACGACGACGCGTCATTCCATTCCCGAGCATTTCGATGACATCATGTGTTCGAATGCGCGTGCAGACACACACATACATACACGTATAGAAACGGGTGTGTGTGTACAATCACATGCTTGCACACATGCGCGCGCGCGAGACCGGAGCACGAGGCCGCCGTCCCGGCCCGAGCACGGGGATTTCCAGAAAGTTTGTCGCACACGCGCTTCGTACGTATATACGTACTGCTACGATCATCGCTTCGCCGCGCTGCGTCCAATGCCCCCTATAACGTTTTTGCTGCTCTCTCTCTCTCTCACGCAGTTCCGATCGCGAAATTTATCCCGGACGTTGTTAAGTATACATTAACACCCGAAAAAAAAATATATACATGTATATCTCGTTCGCTCGTTCGGCCAGAGGTTATTATTGAACCGCGTATAATTTGGATATACTCGAGATTTCCTGCAGCAGCCGCACCGCGACACACGGCGTGAAATAATAAAAAAAAAAAAAAAACGCAGTTGCAAAAATCATCGTTAGTTGCACGAGCGTCGATGTATTAACGAGCGCGCGTAAAAAAAAAAACAATAATAAAAAGGAGAGGACGAAGATGCAGCAAAAAATACCCCGCGAGTGCGTCAGTGCGTACGGACGAGTGTGTACGAACGAGTGTGTGCGCGCGGGTGTGTAAGGACGAGTGTGTGCGCGCGAGTTTGTACGCGCGGGTGTGTACGGGCGAGTTTGTGCGCGCGGGTGTGTACGGGCGAGTTTGTGCGCGCGGGTGTGTACGCGGAAAAAAATCTTTGCGGAAAAAAGAGAGGCGCAAGGTTGAATGGACTTGCGCTGTACGCGTACTGGATCTTTGCTCGCGCGCGTGCCAACTTTTCTCTCTCTCTCTCTCTCTCTACATACACTTATATCATATAGGCATTATAATGGGGAGAACGTCTTGACAGTGACCCACTTTTAGCCCGTTTTCTCGCGCATATATAGCAGCAGCAGCAGCATCAGCCAGGCATGTGTCGACTCGCATTCCGTTCCGACTAAATAACAACGTTATAATGTATATAAATACTTTCCATGCATATATGCGGGCATACGTGTACGCGATCACGCTCCAGTCATACATGTGTAAAAATATATATAGGTGTGTGTATTTGCCGGGCACCTTTATGAATTAGTGCTACTGCTGCTGCTGCTGCGTGTGTAGTGCGCTGCAAGTTCAATATAATAA